AGGCTGGGCCAGACTGGGCTCCCCCATTGTAGTTCCAGCAACTGTGCCATAACACCTGGTGGTTGGTCTGTCTCCCTGATCCCCGGTGGCAAGGTCCATGAGAGTGGGCATGGTGTGTGTACTTGGTCACTGGCTGTGTCCCAGTGCCCAGCCCGAGAAGGTGCTCTGTAAATAGCTAAGCATCGTGAGTGTGGCTAAGGGTGCGTGGGGGCAGTCGAGGATGCCTTGACAGAGCGTGGCGTTAAGGATGAGGGGTGTCCAGCCAGGTTACTGACCAGCTTTATGACCTTGGGCAACTTCAACCCTCAGGGTCTGTTTCCACATCTCTAACATGGGATAATAACAACAAAGGCTACCCTACGGAGTTCTTTTTAGAATGACCTAAGATGGTCACTTAAAGGGATTAGCATGTAGGAAACCCCCAACTGAGTGCTTGCAGATTCCTGGAAACCAAGACCTTCAGGCAGGCCAAGGAAATGGAAATGTGTCTGGTGCATCAGCCTGTGCTGCCCCACCACTTTCCAGCCATATGCTGGGCTCCTCCTTACCACAGGGCCTTTGCACCTGCTGCCTCCTCTACCTGGATCCACTCAAATTCCACCCCCTCAGAAAGGCTTTCCCAGGTCCCCCAGGTACAGGCCTGGTACTCTATTGAACGCCTTCACAGAGTCTGTCACTACCTGCCTGTATGTATTTAGTTGCTTGTTGTCTGTCTCCCCTATTAGACTGTCAGGCCCCTGAGGGCAGGGACTTGTGCCTCTTCGTTTATGGCTGTATCCCTGGCCTAGAACAGAGACTGGCACATAGTAGGTGCTGAGTATAATGAATAACTGATGAAGTGGGAACAGTATGAGGTCCCCTTTTGCTGGGTAAACCGAGGCACAAAGTGGTGGATGGCATCCCTGACTATCCAATCTCTCCCCTGCCACTAGAGGGCACAAGCTGTTTTGGCTCATGGCTCAGGGGCAGGACTCACCAAGACAGTGCAGGAAGAGAGAGCCAGGATAGACCACTGAGGCAGGGTAACCCTGGGGAACAAGTGGGCTCAGGAAGGGAGCTTAGGATCCTAAGCTGGGCACCTGGACCCACTTAGTGTGCTCAGAGGAGGAAGCCAGGCAGATCTGAGTTCAAGTCCCAGCTCCTTGTGACTTACTGTGGGGCCTCTGTCAGGTAACTGGTCCACAGAACCTCTGTTTAGTAACTGTAAAATGCAAAACTAAGCAGAGTGCCAGAGAAGGCTCTGGACCCAAGAAGAATCTGAATCCCAATTCAGCCCCTGCTGGGCTGGGTGACCTGGCCCTCTCTGAGCCTTGGGCACTGAGCTGGGCCACAGGGCCCACCCTCTTACCAGAAATGCCACCTCTGCCATCCAGAATGTCTCGGGGGCCCTCCTTGGTGACCGGCAGGTAATGGGTGGACCGGAAGATGCCACCATCCCCTTCAGCTGCCTCAGCCCCACCCTCAATGTCCTCTCTCGGTGCTGGGCCGGGCAGTCTCTCAGGGCCTCGAGGACGGTCTGGGGCAGCCAGGCCGCCCACCAGGGGTCCATCCATGGATGCTCTCTGCTTGGCTCCAAGCACTCAGCTGCTGGGCTGGCTCAGCAAGGCATTGTAGATCTGGGGGCAGAGAGACAATGCTTAGGGGAGGTAGGAAAGGGACTCTGCCTCAGTTTCTCCTTCCTTGAAGCCCCAGTCCTCACCCTTGAAGCCTAGTACATACTTCAGTTTACCTCCCAGCCCAGGTGAACTAAATAAATGGTGCTGAGGCCCTACCCAGATACAGTGTCCAGAGAACACCTCTCTTTACACAGATCCGTGCTGCCTCAGTTTACCCTTTTTTACACATGCACACCCAGCCACCTTGTTTTATTCCAGCCTTAATCCTGTCACTTCTCACAGATGCCTCCCTTTTGCACTTTCCCCAATTGTGCCCTCACTTCCATGCACACATGTACACTATGCCCGTGCCTTGGCATGCATGCAGGTCATCTCTACACTCTGATCTTACACCCGAAGATCATTACCCCTGCACTTTTCCCACGGTCCAGTCCTCCCCCCAACACGACCTCAGGGTTCTCCAGCATTAACACCTTCACCCTCACAACAGCCTCAAGTGACCCCAGATCAACCCCTTTGCTTTCCCCCAACATCACCCCTCATGCACACCCCAACCTGGGTCCCTCCCTCCTACCCTCCCAAGATCTCTCTAGTTTGCAGGCAACAGGGATGGGATGGGGCTCCCTGGTCCAGAAATGAGGACCATGAGGAAGCCACGCGGGTGGGGGCTGTTCGCTACACCCTATAAAATACCTTCAAGGTAACGTCGGAAAGTGAAGGGCAGGAATGAGGCGCCCTCCCTGGGGAGATGTTGGGGAGGCCGGCCGAGGCAACCGGGGGGGGGCCGGGGCTCCTGGCCTGGCTGCAGGCGCTGCCCGGGGGGCCTAGGGGCTCCCAAGGGGCCGGTCCGTGGACTGGCAGTCGTGGCGGGGGTCTCTGCCCAGGCCTGGCGGAAGCACCTGCCGGTGCCCACCGGGTGGGTAATGCCAGCGGGGAACCGGCAGGACCGCAACTTCCGAGCACTTTGGCAGCGTGGAGACGGGGGCTCCCGCCTGGACGCCCCCCCGGGAGCGGCAGGGGTGGGAGTGGCGCCGCGCCAGCGCACCCCT